TTTCCTCAGACTTGGAGAAAGTTCTTTCTCAGTTAAAAGCCAAGAATCAGTTTTCCTTTTTCTTTTTTTTATTTAATTTATTTTTTGTTCTGTTTTATGTTTATGTCTTTACCGTGATCGGTAGGCTTAGTGACAAGATCCAGAAGAGGTTGATATATGTCAAGAACGACAAGGTTGAGACTCGAGAGGTTGGCTTGAAGCTTTTGTGAAGTAATGTTGAGCTTATTGTTAAACGAAATTGCTGCTTTGTTAATCTTCTCGACACATTCGTTACTGTCCTCTCCGAATATTGTAATCACTGCCGGCAAACATCCAAGCGGAGGCAATGTCGTGACTCCAATTCTTCTTGCTCCCAAGCTATACAACTCCTGAATAAAGTAAATAAACTCAAAAAACATTTTTTCGAAATCAAGGTAGAATTGACTATAAATGAATTACAGAGTTGTGGTAGAGCCGATTATTTTTTTTTTTTTTACCTTCACAAATTTGGTATAAAACTGCAAGAGAATGTCCGAGAATTGTTCGGTACTATATTTCTTGTACAGCAGAGGATTGATATAATAGTTCTGAACAAAGTCACTGCTTCCAGCACTCACAAAATGTATAGAGCCATTAACTATTGATGTGGCATTAGATTTTCCGACGAGCGCAACGAGTTTCCTCTGGTAGCCTTTGTACAGTTCTAACTGTTTGCTTAAAGGAATCGTGTTCTACCAAAAATACAGTTGTGAGTAACAAAATATCAGGAAGTTTTCAGATCATTGCATAACAAAGGAATTTTTATACTATTAAAATAAAATCTTGTGTATGTACAATATATGTCGTTTTTCAAGCGGCAAAATTGTATTTTTAGTCTTGCTAGTTTAACGCTATAGCATTTTTAGTCCTACGATTTCAACTTTTTTGTCTTTTGATCCTGTAATTTAGTATTTTGCTGCAATTTCAGTGCTTCGGGACTGAAATTGCAACAAAATTTAAAATCACAAGACTTAAGTTGCTAATAAAAAAATCCTTGCGTTGAATTTCAGTGCTTGAGATTTTTTATTAGCAATTTAAAGTCCTGTAATTTTAAATTTTGTTGCAATTTCAGTCCCAGAGGATTAAAATTGCGTTGAATTTTAAAATTATAGGACCAAATAGCGAAATGTTCAATTCCTTGGACTAAAATCGCCACTGAGTCAAACCAACAAGACTAAAATTACAATTTTGCCTTTTCAAGCCTTACATAGATTTCTGCAGTAGTGTCATAATAACCGGAAGAGCCTGAAGCAAAGTTAGCTCCAATCAATAGGTTTTTGCCTGTGGCTTGCTTGCTGAGATAGGGTTGTGGATATGAGGTAAAACCCAGGTTTTCAGCTGCATTTAGAGAATAAAAAATAGATAAAAATTAAATTCAATGGCCTCAGTGTATTCTAAATGCTTAACTATTCAGAATTTATCTATCCCTTTCAACCTCATAAATGTAGAGTACAAAAGTTGCAAACCAAATTATAAAATTAGGAACCAATTTTGTATTAGATATAGTTGCTCACCAAATGAACTCTTCCCTTAAAAGTTCAATTTGTTAAGTAGAAGCAAACTTTCCATCGATATTTCATTCATAGTTTTGTAGGAGACTGTTTGTAAACAGATTGAACTTTAAAGGCATTTTTTTCTAACTAAACCTTATGTGGGAATAATTACCGGTGTAGTCCGAGGCAAGTTTGCCGTTACAAAATCTGCCGGTTGGTTTGTGATCGATAAAATCTCTACCGTAAGGCGGGAAATCGGCTTTGACGATGGTTTCGAGATTGTTGTTATTGCCAACATCAACCACAGAGTCCCCAAATATGATTAGTGCAGGGACTAAAGGCTGTGCATTTGTCATGGCCAAGCAAAAAAGTATGAGCAAAATGTTGAAAATATTAATTGAACTTGTAATCATGATTGATTTCAATTGTATGCAAAANATGAGAGCTTGTGTTGTGGCTATGGTGTTTCAAATTATCAATTTAAAGAGAGTTTTTTTTGGTGCAATATGCATGGCTGGCCTAATTGGTTGAAATGGGTACATCTTAGATTTTCTTGTGCCAATTTATATCCAATTGTAAATCTCAACAAATGAAGATAAAAAATGCAATGCTGGTGAGATCCCTTGTTTAATCAGAAGTGAAACTTGTTTGTGTCCCTTTTTTTTTAATTATTTATATAATTACATGACACATTTGGTAATTGTTTTGGCCTGGATCTGAGAAAAGATTTTACAAATCGCCTAATGGAACTTTAGATAGAGTTGTAATCGAATAAGCATCGATCGCTTGAGCATTTCGAGCTCATGTTTGATTATGTTCGAACTCTATTCGTATTTGCAAGCTTATTATTCGAGCAAAGATTCGTGTTTAAACTTGTTCATTTAATTTTTGTATCAAAGTTCAAGTTCGTATAATTTAATAAAAAAAATATTTACTGAAATTGTAAGATTAGCTCGACATCAGTTTTTTCGATTTTGTTGGTGCTCGAAAGTATATAAAAAAATCATGCTTTAGAATTTTCTATTAAGAATATCAAACATATAAATGTAAAAGTAAAAAATTTAAAATATCATACATAATTAAATATATATAAAAAAAATTGATGTTCTCTCACATGCATGAACGTTCGCAAATAGACTCATGTTCGTTCTATTAATAAACAAGCTTAATTTTTTGTTCGAATTGATTTATAAACGAATTAGTTTTTGTTAATTACAAACAAACTTTTGTTCCCGGACCATTTTACAGCTCTCACTAGTAAAATTTTTAACAAAAGATTTGCTTAAGCACCAAAAGTTGTTGCTTTTGTCAAATAAATGGCAATAGTTCCAACAAAGTTTGATGGCGTGTCTTGCTTAAGTTCTGTAGTGAGCTGGAATTTCTTGTAGGAACTTCTCAATCATCAAGAATCATAATCTACCACAAAATAATAGTTTTAGCTTTTTTCTTCTTCTCTTGTTACTTGTTATAATTTTAGATTTACAATCCTTTATTTAACCGTTTGTTTTCTGTTTTGCTCATTTTATTAATCCTCCTATTGCGTAACAAAGTTCTTCAATTCTCGTTGCGTTTCAAAAGTAAATAAAGGCTAAAACTAGGATTATTATGGGATAGTTAGAGTATATATATTTGGTTTGTGATTTATGATCCTGCAAAATGATGCACCGGACATCGACTGGACGAAACATGTGCATGTGCACATTTGAGTTTGACACAAAGTGTATGCCAACTTGAAGAGTTCAAGTAACGATAAATGCTAGTTTTTCGAAAGTTGTAATATAAGTAACAAAACGACAGAGGTAACTATTATAAAACTCAAAACGAACAAGATTCAAATACAAGCCACATAGTCCAACTGAGAAATAGAAAAATGAAAGACAAACTCAAAGGTGGTCTAGTTCCTCAAATACATCAAATATAGAAAAATCAAGAGTTTTAGCTTTCTACCACTACTAAAAGCCTAGTACAGAATGCTAAACTCAAAGAAGACAAACAAGCACAACCAAATTTCAATACAAGACAAAACAGAGTCAGCTAAGATGCAGTAGAGAAGCCAAGCTAATCCTTTTGAGCCATCCTGATTAATGAGTGCACTGGAATTAAAGTTTTTTGAAAAATCCAGAGGTTTCTTGACTTCCAAAGCCACCAAAGCATATATGTAGTGAGCTGGATCCTTGCTTCAGCAACTTCAGAATAGTCAAGAGAGCACACTTGGTACCACCATGCCTTGAAAGAGTCAGTGCAGCTTGATATTCCATCCCATTAAACTGGGGACAACTCCCACAGTCTTTGTGCCTTGAACAAGAGAATAATACATGTTCCACTGTCTCTACGGCCTCACCACAAAGATAGGCAGTGGAAGCTTGAAGCAGGACATGGAAAAGATAGGCAGGGCTTGAATAACAGCCTTTAGGAGCACCTCCTTGCCAGCTGAAGAGAGGAGTTTGGATTTCAAACTGAGCAACTTGTTTTTTAACTGCATTTAGAATATACTCAAACACTTCCTTTTTAGATCTTCTAATGCCAAGAGGAAGACCTAAATAGCGGGAAGATTTGTGAGAGACAATACCATTGAGTATTCTGCAAATGGAGGACTGCAGGTGCTGAGGAGTGTTTCTGCTGAAAAATATGGCAGACTTGTGCATGTTTACTGCTTGGCCAGTGAATAACTTGTACTGATCAAGAATATTCATCAAAATAGCAGCTTGATCTGTTCCTGCTCTACAGAAGAATAGGGAATCGTCTGCAAATAGGAGATGAGAAAGCAAAGGACCATTCCTGGATACTTTCATGCCCTTAAGAGAACCAGAATCAATAGAGTTTAGAATCAAGGCAGTAAGTAACTCAGCAACAATGATGAATAGGTAAGGGGAAAGAGGATCCCCTTGCCTAATTCCTCTTGATGGTGTCACAAAACCACTGACAGTTCCATTGATCTTAGAAGAATAAGAAGCAGTAGTGACACAAATCATGATCATCTTCACAAAATCACTATGAAACCCCATCTGAAGCATAATTTTTTTCAGGCAAAGCCATTCAACCCTGTCAAATGCCTTCATTAAGTCTAATTTGAGAGCCATAAAATAGTTAGGACCTGAGGAGTGCCTGTTTAAGAAGTGGAATGCTTCTTGTGCAATTATGACATTATCAATAAGTTGTCCCTCCTCCACAAAGGCTGATTGGAAGTCACTTATACAGAAATTCAAGCAAGCTTTGAGTCTTTGTGCCAGTAATTTAGAAATGATTTTATACACAACACTGCAAAGACTTATTGATCTAAAAGCCCCAAAGTTTCTGGATTCTGACATTTAGGAATGAGTGATATGACAGTGTGATTCCAATATTTGAGAATTATACCTGATCGAAAAAAAACTAATGATAGCAGCCATGAGATCTTGCTTGATTAAGTTGATATAAGCGAAAAATATATATGTTAAAAAAATGTATTTCAAAACTTGGAATGTAACCACATTATTCTACACTTTGCTGTATAATAAAAAATATTTGTTCCACTTATTATACAAATTGAAAAAATTTTCATATGTTGTTTATATATTGATACATATTTATTTATTTATTTTTGTTTATTTTTAGCATGGATGTTACATAAGATTAACATACAACATTGGACAAAATTTAATGCATATCATTCAAGAATAATACAACAATGGACAAAGTTTAATACGTACTATTCAAAAATGGTATATAACTAGTAAAATACACGTGTACTACATGGGTACTTGTTAAGAAAAGAAAAAATTACACCATTCGTCCACTAATTACACCCGAATTGCACTTTCGTCCTTTAATTATTATTCTTGTACTTTTGGTACACTATCATTTTGTTTTGACAATTTTCGTCCAAATCGAGGTTCCGGTGCTCATTTTTGCCGGAAAAATAATGTGGCGCCCAGTCGGATTGTGCGTCACATCAGCTTTTCCAGCGCCACATCAGCTTTTCCGGCAAAAATGAGCACCGGAACCTCGATTTGGACGAAAATTGTAAAAACAAAATTAATAGTGTACCAAAAGTAATAAAATAATAATTAGAGGACGAAAGTGCAACTCGGGTATAATTAGTGGATGAATGGTGCAATTTTTCCTTTAGAAAATTATTTTTATGATTAAATAATAATAACTACAAAAATTGTTTTACTTTTTAAATACTTTTTTGAAAAAATATATTATTATTTATTTTTAAAATGACATTGTCACTTACACGACTTACCATCTTATATTATATATATATTTTTTTTAATTTATATGAGATAACTACTTTGTAATTAAGTTAGTCTAAATAACTTTATTTTTTGAATTAATATTAATAAGTAATTTAATTTAAAATTATTTATTTATTTTGTATGTATAATATAGATGTCAAATCAAAAGTTCTCAAGATACGATTAATTGATATACTATATATAAAAGTTATTAATAATTAAAAAATTTAACTTTTAAAAATATTCATAATTCAAGTTAGTAAATTTGTTATAATCTTCAAAGAAATATGAGGAAAAAAGAAAGATTGGCAAACAAAATTATACCTTGTAACCAAGTCTAAAATAGGAAATGATATTAAAGCATAATTAATGCTCTTAAAAGGACCATAAATATATAGTATATTTATGAATATTCCAAGTTTAGTTACTTTTGAATTAGAACTAGTACATAGCCCGTGCGATGCACGGGACATAAGTATTAAATAAGTAATTTCCACAGAGTTTGTCCGTTAAGTAGCTCGTGCGATTCACGGGAGATATTAAATGAGTGGACAATAGGGCTTGTCAGTTCAGGCTTAAAAAATAATAGAGTTTGATTATCTATTTTTTTTTACCTCCTTCATCAATGTCATCTTTTTTGTCGAGACATTAAACTGGAGCTTGGTAGAGCTAGCCCGTAAATTAATTAATATATTATCTCACTCACATGTTTATAATAATATAAATTTGATTTCATTTTATATATTTATTCCTTGATATAAGAAAAATAACAATTTTACGTAATCTGGTTCCTCGTATAGTACTCATATTATTTTATTATAAAATTTATTGTAATATAATGTCATTATTATCATTTATACAAGTTATAGAAGTAGTCTTCTTCTTCTTTTTGTTTGATGTAATTAAAATATTTAATGTATGTTAATATTATTTATTAATGTAACTAATTTAAATTATGTAAATAAATTTAAAGTAAAATATTTTGTACAAAAATTTTACAAAATATACACAAATGTTTTTCTAGAATTTAATTTTTTTATACTAAATAAACATCTTTGAAATTCTATGCAATTATTAAACATCCTCGATATAAATTCAAATCATACTTGAATTCTATGAAATTATTAATTACGTCCGATGTTATGGGAAACAAATCATTCGGAAATGTAACAAAATGATAAGGAATTTTAAAATCTAAATTTTAAATGAGACATGTTTTTATTTGAATTCTATGCAATTATTATTTTG